GCCTTGAGGAGTAGTTTGTGTGTGTGTGAGTAATGTTTTATGGTACCTAGCAATGCTTTCGCTTCACCTGGCTGCCCCTCTATTTGAATTTACATTATGAAGAGAGCACACCAGGAAGAGATGGTAGAAGACTAAGAAGGGAAAGTTTTCATTTTCTGTCAGATAAAAAAATGCTACAGGAGTTTATAGAGATAATCCTTAAAATACAAATACAAATACACACACACACATATAACAGGCATACCAATGCATAGCAATTTCATAGCAATAAACTGCTCAGCTTTAGAGTATAGAATAGGAAAAAAAATGCAACTTTGGATTTTAGGACAAGGTCATTGAAAAGAGGAAGAAAATCCTGTATTTACAGGAACGATTCATTTTTAAAGAATTACCAATACTTCATGCATGAGAGTGTATCAAGCAACAAGTGTGAACAAAAGACTTACCTTTCAGAAGACCTGCTATAACCACTGCCCAAAGAACTTATTTTCATGGAGGTGGAGGTCCCACTCTGTTCTTCTGGGATACCACTTTGCCCCAGAGGGCCACAGGAAGGGCAGAATTGTCAGGGAATTCTGTTGGCACCTATCAGGAAACACATTCTGTGTCCTGATGCAGTCAGAGAATGTACAAGAAACCTGTTTTAATAATGGACTTTAAATATGTACATGTGAGCTGACCTTGACAACGGGTAATGTTCTAGAGTGACAGAGCAATCTCATGGGGGTCTCTTTAAAATGAACTCAGGTCTTTACCATCTCCTAGTGACTTCCCAAATATTTGCTTCTTGGGCTGGACTTTAACTAACGTCAAAGAGATGACTGGGGTAGTCATTTTAACATGGTTGAACTAAATTCTCTACATCAGATTTCTTGTCAGAGGCTACCAAAAAACCTTCATATGACATTGCTATCTACAACAAAATTATCATGGTTATCTTAATAATGTAATCCATTTGGTAGCAGTGTATGTCTGAGAGTACTCTGGTAGCAAAACTATTTTTAGTTGCCATCAGTACTAGATAATTGTCTTCCTGTTTATTTCGATTCCTGCTTGAAAGCTAGTTGTTTATGTAGAGTCTCTAGAAACACCCATCAGATTAAATATTGTCAACAAAGAATAAACTTGGGGGGAGAGGTCTTCAAGAGAATCCTGAAACACCATAAAACAGACATAATGAGAGAAAATTAAAGACCTGGCCAGTGTGACTCAGGTGGTTGGACATTGTTCAGCAAAGTGAAAGAGGGCCAGTTCGATTCCCGCTCAGGGCACATGCCTGGGTTGTGGGTTCTGTCCACGTGAGGGTACATACAGAGGTAACCAATCTATGTTCTCTCTTGCATTGATGTTTCTCTCTCTCCCCCCCCTCTCTAAAATCAATGAGCATATCCTTGGGTGAGGATTAAAAAAAAAAAAGAGAGAAAATAAAGATCATTTCTCAAGATTTACTACATTTACTCTCTGGTGTCCCTGTTTCATGTTTTCTTTCATCTCACTGTTTTCTATGGTTTCCTCTAAGTAGATCTCATCTCTTGGCAGAAATCCCTTCATTTATATAGTACAGACTCAAGCTGCCTGCTTTTCGTTGACTGGGACAAAGCAGGAAAAAGCTGGTCTTCTCTCCTTTCTCCCCACTCCCTTCTTTTCTTATCCTTGCTTACCTCCTGCCTCCTGTAGGGCTGCTGGGCTACACAGATGCTCCATTTCCCACTACCCCTTACCCTTCCATGTAATTACCACATACATTGCCAGATTGAGCAAATAAAAATATAGGATGCTCAGTTAAGTGTCAATTTCAGATACATACTGAATATTTTTACTACATATCCCTGTAATACTTGGGACATATTTATACTGAAAAACTGTTATTTACCTGAAATCCAAATTTATCTGGCAACTCTTTCACCCTGTGGCCACTGGAGGAGCTCCAGCAGATGCCTGGTCCCTCTTACTGAGAACTCTATCTGCTTAAGTCCCATCCTGGAAAGAATACCCAAATCTAAGCTCTACCATTCCATCACAGTGGGCTATGCTCTTATGCTCCCGGTTGTTCCACCAAGGACTCCGTTAGGTGTCTTTCAGTCTGTGAATTCTGAATTGCTTAAGAATGGGCAAAACATCAGATCTGGACCCCATATTGCTTTGCCCTCAATTACCCCAATAATTTTGATTTTTAGCAAATGAAACTGAGACTCTGTGATGGATCAAAATTCAGGTACCTGCACAACACACCCTTACTTTCCATGCCTGATTTAGAATGAATGATCAAGGGGAAAAAAATCTAATGTGAACAAATATGATGCATTTCATAGTACCTTAGGGCAATTTGTCTGTTTATTTTTAATCTTCATCCAAAGGAATTTTTTTAATTGATTATTTAGAGAGAGGAAGAAAGAGAGAGAAATATTGTTGGTCAGTTGCCTCTTGCACGTGCCCCAACAGGGAATCCAACCAACAACCTAGGTACGTGCCCTGAGCATTGAGCCCCTCAACCTTTTGGTGCACAGGACATCACTCCAACCAACAGCCACCTGGCCAGGGCCTTAGGACAATTTTTTAAAAAGTTAGAAATGTGCTGCAGGACCAAGGAAGTACCAACTGTATTTAAGTGAGAACTTGAAAAGTTAACTTCAAGCGAAGAACAAGGCACCTGAGGTGAGGTGGTCCCAATGTACCTGAGAGAATGAATCAGGCTTCTCCTTTGAGATTTTCTCTTTGTTGGGTCTGAGAACAGTCGGAAGATAGTATAAATTCAGAAGCATGACAGAGGGCAGCACAAAGCTCTTCAGAAATATTTTTCAGTGGCAGAGTCAGTGCCCTTACAAAACTATCGCTGTTTACGGCTGACTTTAAGGACCCTATCAAATCTCCAGGACAGCTTTTTAAAGAATTTCTTCTTTCCATTCTATCTCAGACCTTGAGTGACAGGTAGCTTTTTTCACTCAGGTGACCAGAATACAAAAAGGGAGCCCATGTGTCTGGTATGAGCTGAATTCATTCCGAGAATCCCTGCAATCCCCAGAGTCCTGTATTAGATTTACTTTGAGTGGTTCTAGCATGGTTTCCTCACCCCTGGACAAAGAACAGATGCACCTTAACTTTCCCCAAGCAGAAATGAGCATTTTGGTTTTTAATGCTATTAAAGAGTTCAAAAATAATCTAATTTTCCTACTACAATTTTCTACACTAAGGACCATTCTGCAAATGTGGGACCTTAGAGAGGTACTCCCTGTTCCCTTCCTCTCATTCTCCCTTATTCTTATGTGGCTAACAAAGTTTCTAAATGTAAAAACTGGATGCTCTACCACTCAAGTCTGTCTGAGTTTTTATGAACTACTCTAGCCTAAATCATTGTACAGAAGGAGGCCTAGTGGGCTAGGAATCAGAAGAAGTGGGTTCTGATTGAATGTCTCCACTAATTAGCTAGGGGATCCAGGGACATCTTTCATCTTTCTGCTGTCCTTCCTCTAGAAAATACTACTTACTGTTGGACTTCATGTTCTTCAAGGTTCACTCCTGCTCTAAAGTTCTAGCTTGTTTTTGGATCCTTCCCCATCTCTATGTGTTCCTTGTGAGAAATACACATTAGGCTTTTAGACAAGATTACTTAACAAATGCTTTTTTCTGTTTTAAAATTTTCTTAACATTAGAAAGGTTCCTTAAAAAAAGTTTAGCTGGCTGAAAGCACAGTTTTCTAAATATGTTGTTTATGAAACTTAGAAAATAAACAGATTGGATTTACGAGAGCTTTCTGATTCTTAGAATCTTTCAATGCTCTAAATTTAGCAAATACTTTCATGGAGAGCTCTTTAGTCTAGGTGTGCAGCAGTGCTGCCTACAGTAAATGGTTAAGGAGATGAAACATCTCCCCCTCTGTTTATCCTGGATTGTCTCTGTCCATAACACACATTGTTAAAAATGCATCAATTTAAGTGTTTACTGTGATGAATTTTGACTAATATAATATATACACCTGTGCTGTCATCACCCAGAACTTTCCATCACTCCCAGAAAGTTCTCTTGGGGCCCTCTCGTCAGGCAACTACTATTCTGATTTTTATCACCATAGATTGGTTTTGTGTGTTTTTAGATATTAAATCATATGGTATGTAGGAGTAAGGAAGTAACCATCATAAAGTGCTTCAGACATGAATATTTTCAGCTAAAATCAAGGCCCAGTGAGGTATCAGCTGACTAGCAAAGGGGTAAAACAGAAAGGCAACATTAAAACTTAATCGCTTAGTTAAACTAAGTCAAACTTAATTAAATGGAAAGAAGCTGTATATGTAACAGGAGAAAATTGTAACAGTGGGAAATTGTAATCCACCCCACCATTCTTTTGACATTTTTTCTCTAAGTGCTGACCCTAATATGTGGCTTACAGATGAATAGCATGTTTGTATAAGAATCCTAGGAACTAGTTTAAAAAGATACAGACTCTGCCCTTCAAGCATCCCAGCTCCAGAAGATTTGCCAACCTTCATCCATGGAGTTAGGACGACATGAAGCCAGGGTGACATGAATCCATGATGACTAAACCAGGATGTTGCACACCGGACCATCACTTACCTCACCAGAATGGACTGTGCCGGTTTGCACGTAGAGTTCTTTGCTAACCCCTCCTTTGATCTCTTTGTTCTCTTCCCTGCTCCCTCCTTTTAAAAAAACTCTGCTTCCAATGAGAAATAGAGATGGGCTTTGTGACATGAGTTGCCCATCTTCCAGGTGGCCAGTATCTGCAAATAAACTACTTTCCTTTACATCAGCATCTGCCTCTCAAGTATTGGCTTTCGTAGTGGCAGGCAGCCAGAGCTGCATTTGGTTACATTTACTTTAGGAAGCCCTCATACCAAGTGATGGAATGAATAATGTTCACAAAATGTTGAACCAATTTGGAAAAGGCATTATACAGTCAAGAAGAAAGATCACAGTCTATAAGAAGAAATTGACCCCCTTTCCTCGGACCCAAATAATTGAGTGATAAGTAAGAGTTACTAATATGCCTTTAATATCTTAGCCAATTTATCACAGAGGACCATAGGTGATTTAGTCTGGGTAAGGGAACATGTAGTGGCTGAGATGGTATCAGAAACGGGTGAACTTATGGATTGGTTCTGCTATTGGTGGAAGGTGAGGTCAGGAGTAGCAAAATGAGTATGAGGAGCACCTGGCTCCCAAGTATGTACGTGAAATAGATGGCTCAGTAAGAGAAATGCAGGCCTCACTCTGCACTGAGTTCCCTAACTCTGGTTAAGCCTCAAGCAAAAAATTGTTAAGGGGAAAAAATGCAACTGGTTATGAAAAGATATTATAACACATTTAATTAAAAAATCAATCTTTTGACATTCAAACCAATGGAACCAAATAGGAAAAGCTGATTAAATAGGGCAGAAGCAGCGGCTGAACAAACATCGACTTAAGAGCTCTGATGCCAACCAAGAGGGCGCCCAAACACAAATTTAGCATGGGGGTAAGAGCCTTTATGTCTTTTGGTGAAGGCAAAGCCATTTGGTTGGCACTTCATAGGAACATCTTTCCACCAGGTCTTCATCATATGGTATGTGCCACGAGTCTCCAGTTGTTTGCACCACTGTGTCATAGCTGAGAATATGCTGTTGAATTAAAAAGGGAACCAAACATTGAGAACAATAGTAAAGGCATACCTGGCTATTTCTCTTTCTTTTCTGACAACTTTTCAGTTTGCCTCAGACATATTCTCTCTCCTACTTAGCAATGGATTTTCAAAAAGCAGCTAGCTCTGTAAAAATGAACCCTAGTATTAGGAGCTCCTTTTCTTGGAGAGGCTTCATTTTTAAGGTTAAGGACTCTGTAGGCACACACACACACATATACAAACACACCATACAGTATTCCCATTGTTGCCTTTATCAGTTGTGTGACAGAGAAAAATTCAAATACACAAAAATAGAGAAATATTGAGTAGTATAATGAACACCCCTGTGCCCATCAACCAGCTTTAACCATTATTAACTCAAGGCTAATTTTCTTTCATCCATACCCCACCCACTTCCTTTACTCTGCCTCCATCCTCCCCTGCGCAATATTATTTTGACGAAAACCTCAGCTATATCATTTCTTCTGTGATTCAGTATGTACCTCTAAAATATAGACTTATTTTGTAAATATAATATTAATACCATTATTATATTTAGGAATTAGTAATTCCTTAACATCATCAAATATTTGTTTATATTTCCAATAAATACTTGTCTACATATATTTTACAGTTTGTTTGAATAGGTATTGAAATAAGGTTATTACACTGTGACTGGCTGAATTCTCTCTCAATTCTCCTTTAATCTAGAGCTTACCTTTCCATCTCTGTTATTTTTGCAATCTTTTGTTGTTGAGGAAACCAGGTCAGCTGTCCCATATTGTTTCCCACAGTCTTGATTAGGCTGATTGCATTTCTGTGGTATAATCTGATGCTATATTTCCTATAAATTTGTTATTTTGTATATATTTTTGACCATTACACCATATTTATCATTGGCTAGTATATTTTTCTGTAATTACGCGCCTTTGGATTTTCTCCCTTTGCTTTCATACAAGAGACATCCTTATATTTACAGACATCTAAACTAGAATCAAAGGAGAATTCAATTGCGATCATGCTGTAAAAGTGGATTAAACAGGAAAATGGAGTTACTTAGCAAAAGTAGAAGTATGACTAACCGTAGGGATAGACAATTTTGAGTTATTACAAATAACTAGGAGAATAAAAACCACATATGCAATTTTTGCAATTAATAACATAATTAAAGCCATAATTGATGATATCCCAGGTGTTTTCAATATGTTGATTAATGTGGGGTTGGCTTATAAAAACTTTCGCTCTCGCAGACTTTCTGTTTCCAGGAAATGGCTGATTTCAAACTAAAACTGAGAAAAATAAAGCACCTAGAACCTTCAACAAGTTGCAACGTTCTTTGATCATGCCTCATTCTTACTACATACTTGACTCTGCTGACATTATGTAGAGAACGGATGACATACCTGAAAGGTTATTTTTGATCCTGGAAACCTATTAGTAATTGCCAGCTGATGTCCCTGCTGCCACTTAAAGAACAGGCGTTGGGTCTTGGCATCAGGTAGACAGGCCTTATGGTCCCGCAGCAGATCTTTTGTGATAAACTTGCAGTGGTTCCCTGAGTGCAGGGTGGCATACAGAAGAAACGGATCGTCCTCCGAGCTGAGTCAGGCACAAGAAAGGACACGATAAAGCACACCCTCAAGGAGGCAGAGGAGAGGGCTCTTCACCATGCTTTTTCCCTCTTACTCTCCTTTGCTCAGAGGTAAGTGCTCTCTCTGCATTCTTAACTGACATGACCTTAGTGATACTTAGGAACTACCTTAGCTGGTAGGCAAAAACATCTAGAATACAGATGGCAAGTAAGAGGAAGGGAATGCTGCTTGGGCCTCTTAATTGCTCAACTGGACTCTCCCACTAAAATGAAGAATTGGAACAGTAATCCTCTCTTCACATTCATAAATTGGTTCTCTGTGTTCCCAGGGCATTCTTCTTCTTTGCCTCGTCCACCAGAGAGCACCTCATCCCTTTTCTCACTCAAATTCTAGAGCATTCATAATACTGATAGGGCAGGACGGCACTTTCTTGCAAGCCACCAAAAATAACAGGCTGCCTTCAAAGCCGAAGCTGGGTATCTCAAGGCAGCTACTAGGTAGTCACCCAGATCAGTGTCTGAAGGCCTCTACAGCTCTGAGAAGAGCTAGCAACTCAGAGTCTCCAACAGACCCTCAACATCAGCTTTAGCACATATTCTGTAAAAACAGCAGTAGCTACCTGGGCCCAGGAGAGCCTAGCTGCAGCATGTGTTATAACTTATACTTCAATCCAAATGACCCAAGGTAGGGCCATATGTTTACCTTGTACTGAAGTATTTCAAGTAAAATGATAAAATGACTGGAAGGGAAAGAAAAAAATGTGGGAGCTATATAAAACAAGATTAGCAACTGATGGTAATTTTTGGAGCTGGATTACAGTTATGTGGGATTCACTATACTATACTCTCTCATGTGCATATGAAAAGGCTTCTATGGCATATTAATGGAAAATAGAATTAATGTTAGATATTTAATATTCAAATCCAAAGCCATAGAAGGCAACTGAATCAATCTTTACAAATGGGTTCAGAACTTCAGTGGATACAGTAAATACAGGTCCCAAATCAAGTGCAAAACCATTTCAAACAGAATTCTTGGTTATAACACTTTGCATTTATCTAATTCTTCCACCAAATAAAAATAATAACGATGATGATAACAATTAGCATATATGCTTTCCATGTACTTGGTGCTGTGCCAAGTGTTTTACATGTACTATTTACAAGTATTATCTCATTTAATCTTTACGACATCCCTATAAAGGTTACACATGAACAAAAGAAGACAGAGATCGGGAACGCCTTCCCAGATAGGAAGTAGCAGGGCCGTGATATGAAGCTGGGTAGGCTAATTCCCAAGCCTGCACTCCTAATGTCTACCCAATATTGCCCAACACGATTACATGAAGAGCATTATTACTGTCTTCTACTCTTAGAGAAATGGAAGCCTGCCCCCCCCCACAAATAAATGAGAGAGCTTAGCTAAAGGAAATGGGGTATAGTTTGGGATCTGAATGAGGGGTTAGCCTCTTGCTTCATGTATCGAGAACCATTTTACCTTTTTAAGAATAAATGATTTGGAGGAATATTGACAGATCTTGAAGTTACCACATTCAACCTAATGAAACCTGGACTTGGGGCTGAGGCACACACATTATCCATGCAAAGTTGGAAATAAACTTTTGTCAGCATAGAGTATGAAAAACAAAATGCATGTTAAAGTTCATTTGTGCTGTTGAGGATCTGTGTTCCTCCTGATTAGCTGGATTCTTCTTACAGAGGATACTGCACATTTTGTTCCTAACCATGTTTTCCATACTCCTTTGGCTTCCTGGGAAGCTGTAGCTCATAGAAACAGTCCTTTTATATTTAGGATAAAATCTAGGCCCCTTGCTTATTTACCAGGGCCCACGAAGTCCTCTGTAATGTGGTCCCTGCCCTCTCTGTGACCTCAGAACCTACTACTTTCCCTCTTGCTGCTACAGCCCATCTATACTGGCCTGCTTGCATTCCTCAAACATTCCAGGCTCATCCCTGGTGTTTGAACACTTGATGTTCCCTCTACTTGTTATGCTCTTCTCACCGGCCCTCCCCTTTTCTCAAATGACTCACTCCTTCCCTTCAGACTTGCCCCTCCTCCAAAAAAGGCCTTTCCTGATCATCCCATCCACTACCCATTGACCTACCCCTACCTAATCCCTTTCTGCCTACTTCTTCTGCTTTACTGTCTCCATAACATTGATCACTGCCTGAAATTATATAACTTGTTTGTTTGTTTACCTGTTTATTGTAAATCAAAAGATGTCAGAGACTTATAGGTCTCATTCACATCTGTTTCTCCAAGAACACAAAGTGTGCATATTCGTAAAGTATTTGTTAAATGATCTATTTAGGACCTTATGGCTGCCTCAAATCTTTTTTTTGGAATAAGGCTGAGTATATGTATATACGCACTTTAAGAAATGGTGAAAATAGTCCTGGCTGATGTGGCTCGGTGGACTGAGCGCCAGTCTGAAAACCAAAGGGTCACTGGTTCAATCCCAGGCAGGGCACATGCCTGGGTTGTGGGCCAGGTCCCCAGTAGGGGGCATGTGAGCGGCAACCACACATTGATGTTTCTCTCCCTCCCTTCCCCTTTCTCTGAAAATAAAAATTACAAAAAATAAAAAGAAATGGTGAAAATAGGTAACTAACAAGCAGATGACAGGAACCTAATATAATAATAATAATGTAATACAATTATTACCTTCAGTACTTACATGTTGTCAGCAAAGAAACAGCTGGCTAGCTTTTGCACCTCTTCCATCTCATCCTTTCTCCACCGAGCACGTGGATTTAGCATGTGCTTCCGGCCCAGGACCAGCACCCGCAGATTCTGCTTGGCTAGTTGAGAGACCACGTCCAAGAGCTAAAAAACACAAAGCCGGCCCCCAAGAGAGTCAAGGAAAAAAGAATCTCAAGTAAGTGCAGTGATTCCTCCAGCTGGTAATCTAAATGGTGAAGCAATTTTGTGGTAAGGAGTTAAGAAAACATTCCTTAAAATAATTTTCATCTTAGTAAGTCTGAGGAAAATGCTTCCTTTTTACAAATTAATGTCTAACACTTGCCCAATGATCAGGCTTTATTGGATCCAGGGTTTAAAAAAAAATTTTTTTTAATAAGCATAAACTAGATCTAGTTTTTAAACTGTGTTCCTTACAGCCTAATGGGATAGAGATACGAAGGGCAAGGAGGATGGGGTTTGGTTCCTATATGAGTACACTATGAACTCTGTTTTAATCAATATGCTCAGCTTTTGTATATTTATCTATTAGTATTATGCATCAGTTTTCATGTCAATAAAGGTTAGTACCTCTTATGTCTAATACACATGTAGAAAATAGTGAGTTAGTAAGGGCTAAATTTTTTAATTACTCTTTAATGCTTTGGGGAGATATATATATATTTGTCCATCCTACTAGTCTCATTATTTTAGGAAAGAGTAGTTGGTTTTACTATGCCTAATTATTAATTATAGAATTAAGAGACAGAACAGATACAACTTGCCCACTGAACATAGTTAATACTCACACAGAGAAGTATATACCAAGACAAGTGTGAGGACTCTAACCCAAAGCTTTACAACCAGTAAAATATAATTCCTTTCTCCAAAGTGAGGAATAATGGCTTCGGTGTTCATTCAACTATTATTTCTTGGCCTCTCTGTGTATAAGGCCCACAGTAGGTGACAGCCTACACAATTTTAAAAGACATGGTCCCTGCCTTCAGTGAGAGTATCTAATAATTTTCTTACCTAACTACCAAGCCTAGGAAAATGCTGACTCTACATATATTGGATGTTCAATAAACATTTTCTGATTAGCTAAAGAATATGCACACATCTATTTTTATCCAGCATAAAAGTAGCTCATTTTTGAAAACTGAAAAACATTGACTAGAAGGAAGATAGAAGAAACCACTTGTACCTCTCTACCCAAGGACTGTTAACATGCACAGAACAAGGCAAAGGTAGTTTTACAGTTGTGAGTACACAAAACAGAGTTCATTCTTATATTATTATTTATTAATTACTATATTGTTTTCCATATAAACAACTGTAAACTTACTTTTGCCCACCTTTGTAGCCATACATCAAGTATATATTACTATATTCATGTTAGGCATTAAATATACTTCCATAGTGACAGATCACAAAATTGTATATTCTTTATAATATAAACTAAGAGGTATGACAAGGAAAGTAGCTACAGGCAAGTAATAATCACTTAATAAGTATTAATTCAAAGTTAACTCACTGGAATTCTAGGTTTCAGGGTGTATGGGTGGGGGAGAGAAAATATGAACACATTAGGTATTTTCAATTTCTACTTTAAAATAGCTTTATTGACATACAATTCATATATAATAAAATTCACCCATTTAAAGTATATAGTTCAATGACTTTTAGTATAATCACAGATAAGTGCGTTCAACACCACAGTCAATTTTAGAACATTTTCATCCCCTCAAAAGGAAATCTTGAACCTTTTAGCTGTCATTCTGAGCTCCTCACCTCCCTGGGCTGAGGAATTACTAATCTACTTTCTGTCTTTATAGATTGAACTATTTTGGACTTTTGTGTGAACGGAATAATACTTTATTTACTAGTCTTTTTATTCTATGCATTTTATATAAACTTATAAGCTATTATTTTAAGTGTCAGTTTAGTAATCAAGAGCAAACATCCACACTAAGAAAGTTTAGTTCATGGATTCAAACACCTCAAGATACTGGGAGTGCACCTCCTTCAGAATGTACTTATGACGTTCCTTTCCTAAAGCTATGCTGAAATTGCATATTACTTTCAATGACCACACATATAAATTGGCAAATGGCTTCATTAAGATGAACTGACGATTACTTTTTAAAATTTCCACGTGAATTCCCACAGTTATTATAAAGATACAAAAAATTCAAACAAAAACAATTTTTGATCCTGATTGTCTAAGTTTCCATGCAACTGGAAAGACATGGTTTAAAAAAAAAAAACACAACTGTGCCTTCACATTTACATTCAGGTTTAGAAAAATGGTGTTGAGTTTACTATTAAGTTAAAGCCAGAGGCTCCAGAAGAGCAGGAAAGGCTTACCTTGAACTACTCTGGGGCACCATCTTGTGGCTAAGCGGTATCTATGAGAAGCAGCTCTTTGAAAATGATGCCAACAGAGTAGAATACAGGAAGGAAAGATGAGTATACAGATTAAAGACACTGGACTCAAACTCTGTGACAGTCATGAGCCCACTTCCTCTAGGGTAAATTCCAAGCCAGGATCCAGTGGGCTGGGTCAGAGTCATAGGGATACTCAGAATAGTAAGAAACAGAAAATTCACCTTAATTATAAGCTAGATCAAAATAAAACTGGGAGAAATTTCCACTTCTGGGAAGGCAGAGACTTTTCCCTATTTTTCTCACTAAGTACAATTAAAGACCTCAGACACTATATATATAAAGCAAACATAAGACTTTGAAAGGTAGAGAGGAAAAGAAGATTGGCTAGGGACCTTGGGACATGAGGACTGACATGTTGGTGAGTTCCTTGGATTTTCTTTTTGCCTCATATAGCCTAGACTTGAAGCTGAAGAAGACAGTAACCTGGAAATGCCAATGAAAGCAGACAAAATAAGACCAACAAAGGCAAATTCTCTCTGGCCAATGAACTGGAAAGAGGCGGTCTAACAAGACTTAAAACAACACCAGCAGACGTGTGTGTGTGTGTGTGTGTGTGTACATGTATATGTGTATGAATGTGTGTGTACAGACACACACAAACATACAGTTGGCCAAAAAGTTCATTTTTTTTCTGTGTGAAGGCTCTAGCAGCACTTAGTTGTCTTAACTGCATTCAAAACAATTTTGTAAGATTGTATCATGACAGCTGTCATATCAGTGTGCATTAAAAACAACATCAAAATTGGTGAATTTTTGTGTACCAATTTAAACATTGAAAATGGAAGACAATGTGCAACATTTTCAGCATATTATGCTTTATTATTTCAAGAAAGGTAAAAATGCAACTGAAATGCAAAAGAAAAGATTTATGCAGTGTATGGAGAAGGCACTGTGACTGACTGAACATGTCAAAAGTGGTTTGCAAAGTTTTGTGCTGGAGATTTCTTGCTGGACAACGCTTCACAGTCTGGGAGACCAAATGAAGTTGATAACGATCAAACTGTGACATTAGTTGAGGACAATCAACGTTATACCATGCAGGAGATGGCTGACATACTCAAAATATCCAAATCAATAAAGTTATTGATTTGGATAATTATGATTTAGATAGTTAAAAATGAAAAATGTGTCTTTTATTTTATGGAAATAAACATACAGACATTTTGGCCAACCTAATGTATATATGTTATATATGCGATACCTAGAGCAACTATTAAAAATGCTATACAAAGAGATACACTAAAACCCACTATGATAAAGAAAAAATATACATAAAACAAATTCTAAAAAAAGTTCAAATGGCCCACAAGAAGGCAGGAAAAATAAAACAGAAAAACAAAAAGCAGAGATGACAGAAAACAAAATATAAAGTGGCAGGCATAAGTCCTGACCTCAATAATAACATGAAATATAAAAAGTTCTAAGACATTAATTAAAAGACAGAGGTTGGCAGAGTGGATTAAAAAACATGACCTAACTGTGTGCTATCTAAAAAAGCTCACTTCAAAGATGAGTATAGGGTACTGGAAAGTCAATGGAAAAGATTCTATAATGTAAACACTCATTGAAGGAAATCTGGAGTAACTATAATATTAAATAAGGTAGACTTCAGAGCAAAGGAAATTACCATAGACATAGAAGGAGAGTATATGATAAAAGGGTCACTTGTCCAAGAAGATATAGTGATCCTAAATGTGTGTGCATCAAATAGATGAAATAGATGAATAGGTGAAGCAAAAGCTGATAAAAATGAAATATGAAATAGACAATATTCACTGTTATAGTTGAGACTTCAACATTGTTCTATCACTAACTGAGAGAACTAGACACAAAATCAGAAAGTAGATAGAAATATTCAACACCATCAGCCATGCTCATGGATTGGAAGACTTGAAGAAAGTCTATAGGTGTCAATTCCCCAAATTGATATATGGGTTTAATGCATTCCTATTAAAATCCCAGCAAGATTTTTTTGTAGATATAGACAAGATTATCCTAAACATATATGGAAAGACAAAAGAATAAGAATAGCTAAAACAATTTTGAAAAAGAAGAATAAAGTGGGAAAAATCTGTCTACCTCATTTTAAGTCCTATTATATAGCAACAGTAATCTAAAGTGTGTGATATTGGTGAAGGGACAGGCATATACAGATCAACAGAACAGAAGAGATGACCAAGAAATAGGCCCACAAATATGCCACGGAAAGATAGCCTTTTCAACAAATGGTGCTAGAGTGATGGGACATGCATGAGTAAAAAATGAACCTCTCCCTAAATCTCACAACTTATGGAAAAAAAATCAAATAAAAAAAATCAAGGACCTAAATGTAAAATGTAAACTATAAAGTTTTAGAAAAAATACCTAGGAGAAAATTCTTCATGATGTAGAGCTATGCAGAGTTCTTAGACTTGACACCTAAAACGCAGTCCATAAAAGGAAAATTGATAAACTGGATTTCGTCAAAACTAAAAATGTTTGCTCAGTGAAAGACCCTGTTAAAAGGGTGAAAAGACAAGTTACAGACTGGGAGAAAATATCTGCAAACCACATATCTAACAAAGAACTAATATCTAGAACATATAAAGAATTCTCAAAACTTAACAATTAAAAAAAAGAAGCAAACAATCCACAAAGAACACGAGCAAAGAACTTTCACTGAAGAAGATATATAGATAATAAGCACGTGAAAATATGTC